AAAATTCTATGACAAACTGGAACTTACATTGGACTTAATGCTTGAGTTGCATATCCATTCTGAACCTATTTAAAACAACACAGTTAAGACAACGGGTGGGCCTAAATATATTGATCTGAGGGGCCAACAGATTAAGAATTTTTGTCTAATGAATTGCTACCTGAAGGAAAATACTATTATCATAATTGTACAGCGAGCTTTTGGCATTACAGTGGGCTTCATTCGTTGATGAAGGCTCTGTTCATTTCTAGCTAAAGTAAAAGGCCTTAGTCTGTCCAGCCACATCTTCCCAGGCTCTCAATCGGCAATCACCTCCCGTAGATTCAGAACCAACCTGTGACATAGACAGGAACGGCCTGAGGCTTCTTTTACAAACTTTTGAACAGATCTCAGGTAATGGGCAGTAACAACAGTTATGGTCTGTGTGGCCAGTAAGAGAACTAAATGAAAAATAGTTTTCACAATGATAGGAACTAAAACTCCAGTCAAACTTTAAATAGCTGTTAAAATATATAGTTTCTCATGCGTTAAAACTGTGCTTACCTCTTGGGAGTGGTGGTGGGGGGGTTAATCAATTCAGTATAAAGTTTGCTGAGAGATATATGTATGTAAAATTAATTGGTATAATACCAAATGTAGAAAAACATTATTGGACTCAAGATTCATATTTGTCATATATTCGTCATATATTGAAAAGTCACATACACTACAAAGGATTTAGGCTAAAGCTTCACTGCTGTGGGCATAGAATCCTCCTTAGCAAATTATATAATGACTCCAGCTTTTTAATTCATTAAAATAAATCAATTACCAAAATAACATTTTTTCAGGTGCAATATAAACAATATTATTTTGCAGTTCTATTAGGCATTTGGACTAAATAACTAACCTGTAAAACCTGGTCCATCCCTAAGATTTTTAAGTTTATTATACCAAAATTATACAAATGTTAAAACATTTTATTATCTTCTGACTTACCTTGAATCTTGTTTTTTGGTTATGAAACTAATACTTTTTCAATATGGCACTAACATGAAGCTTCAAATATTTAAAATGTTATTTTTTCCATTATTCTCGTTTAGACAGAGTATTTTTCTAAAATCCAGTTAATTACAGTGCTCAAAAATCCTACATGGTTTTCTAATGTTAATTTTTACTTCCTTTGTTCCTGTGGTTTATTCTTGACGTTTCATGATTGCTGCCCAATCAAATCTGATTTGTTTCAAGATACTGCAGTGCAGAGTAGTTCACTGACTGGGGATACGATAGATCTGGCCTCTAGTGCTGGTTCCAGGGAGCTGTGTTACCTTGGGAAGATATTTGATATCTCTGGGCTTCACTTCCCTCATATTATAGAATGCAGGGGGCTGGACAGCTGATCTCTGAGGTTCCTTCCAGCTCCACTTTCTATGACTTGCAATTTGGTTGCCATAAAGTCAGCAGAGGGAGCACTTTTTCTACATCCCATAAATTTTTACTGTAATTTCAACACCTTTCAAAAAATCAAAGGGTTTGTGAAGAACATTACTGAAACTAAATACTGATAATCCTTCACACAGTTGGTATCAAATCACAAATTTGACTATAAACTTGAGAAAAGTCTAGAAATAATTATTTTTGTTCTTTGAATTCCATGATAAGAGTCCCATAAGAGGATTGTTTTAGAATGATTAAGGAGCTAAAATATACTGAGAAATTAACCACCGGTAAGAGGTAGTATATTTATATGGGACCCAGTGAAAGAGAAACACCAGCCCATCCAACAGAGGCTATCTGGTATCAAAGATGAAAAGTGAGAAATTCATCAATCATAAAAACATTAGCAGACTGGGTCTAATATAAACAAATAACGCAAGTGACTGGTAGGTTTTCTTTTGCGCTTTTCATTTAGCTACACTGGGAACAAGCATGTAGACACAGCTAGAGCCTGGAGGCTTGCAAGAGACTCGAAATGTGTGGTATCAAGCCAATGACAAAGTTGCGTATCTGAGAACCTAAACTCCTTTTATCCCTATATTCATAGATATCTTAAAACTAACTGAGCATCCATTGTGTCTTTTTAATTATTAGACAATCTCATATCGTACGTATATTAAAGTTTTTATTCCTTAGTAAGAATTTTAAAGTCACAAAATAGCGTGGCAATATTTATTTTAGGTAATAGAATTTATGGAGTGCTGAAAATACTAGAATATAAAGATAATTTCTAGTTTATCTTCACATACTAAACTTTTCTAAACCAGCTGGTTTCTTGCGGAGAGTATTTTATTTATTTTTTTAATAATTTAAGACAGCATAAGCTTGTACCAAGCATAAGCATTGTAACAAAAGTGCAACTTTTCAGCAAATCCTCCCCCAAAGATATTTTAACTCAAAATATCATTAGCACATATTTTCTCCCTACAAAAATAGCATGTCAGACATCATTAATTGGATGTATTAACAACTATGTACATAAGAGCCACCTTGTAGGCTAAGAGTTTAACGTTGTTTAAACACAGCGTTTGAGGCAAACAGTAGCAGCAGCAGCAGCAGCAAATGCACCAAACTGACTGAAAGACCCAGATATTTTCTTCACTCACATTCAGACTGTTGTGTCTCACCCCTTACATAACATTCAAGTGAGATTTCTCACAGTGCTACCTTGGCAACAAACTAAAAATATCTAGACAAGGTCTTGGTTTAAGCCTTATTAAAAAAGCTTTCTTTGTGATTATCTGGTATCTGGTTTGGTCTCCAGAAAATACATAGACTTGGAGATAGGAAGGCCTCACAGGGCTTCATTCCACATCTTTACAGCATTTCCAATCAACACTGACCAGCTGAATGCTTTCCTCCACTTTTGTGAACCAACAGAATAGAGGCTAAATCAGTTTGGACTTGTTTTCTGTTTTTAAGTTCAGTGCACATTTTTTTTAACAGCAAGATTATACAAACTTGGGAACATGATGGATTAAATAATGACTGGGTGAGAATAGACGCACTCAGTATATATATATATATATATATATGTATACATATATATATGAAATTAAGATGAGTCTATTGATTCATGGTCAATTTCTCAATAAAGTGCTAGCAAATGTCCTAAGAATGACTCCGGCCTTCCTCATCCATTTCTTTCCCTGACTTAGTTCTGACCATGGCCTAACTCCGCGTCTCTTTAAACAAGTGCAAGTTACTAAGGGATACCATTCAAACCACTTCAGAATAGGCTGCAACGTGAGCGACTGCGTCCTCACCTCTTTGAAAAATATATGCTTTTTTAAAAGCTGAACATTATAAAATACTGAAGAGTAAAGTGGATTTTAAAAGATCCTCATTCTGTTTGTGGAAAGCCTCCTAAAGCAGGCAGGACAGCTTTGAGACACAGGCAGAAAAGAGCTACCTGTGGTTCCATGTCAGCTCCTCGGCCACCGTCCCCTACCCTGGTTCAATGCGCTCACCCGCAGAGCAGACTCTTCTCACTTCTTCGAGAATTAGGTTCTGTATTTTAAAAGATAATGGAACGTGGCCTGAAAGAAGGCATAGCTGATTATGGGGAGTTCTTTAAAGAAAAAAGAATGTCTAGCAGAGTTTCTCTTACAGATGGTGGGGGAAGAAAGGGATGTTAGTGTGTGGAGGGTGGTGGGTGGTGAGGGATGAGCAAAACAGGAACTCTAAATGTACACAAAACACCTGTGTTGTTGTTTTTTTAAAAAAAGCCTGTCGTGCATCTATTACACTTCCTCCCTTAAAAACGTTAAGGGCGTTTTAACTTAGTAATATTATTCTGCGCGAACCCCGGTCCTTTCTAAGAAAGGGGCGCAAGGATTCAGGGGCTTTCCTTTCCTGGCTGCGAGGGATCTTCCTGAGCGGAGCT